CCAGTGCTTTTGCATATTATAACATAAATGTTGATACTTGACTTTTCAGTTGACAATGATAATTATTAGTTAAAAATTTGAGTTCACAAAAGTTATCATCCTGAACCACAGGAGTTCATAGATTGGTTTTTGAGTCCTGTGTGTTTTATCACTGATGAGAAATACAACTAAATCGTAAGTGTATAAATAGGGAGGTGTCGTATGATTGCCAATGCGATAACTTTCCAACAGAGACCAACGGACAAGGATGTAAACAACTCTAGGTTACCATACGACCTTCAACAATGAGCAACTCCATACCGTATAGTAGGCTCTAAAAGACCTCGGTGGGACAAAACAAAAGAGATGAAAAATAACAAGGACACAATCAAAACTATAAGTCGAAGAGAAACTGGCAACGCCGTGAAGACGACAAACATACAAACAACTCCTCACAACACTACATAGAAACCTAAGCAACACAAACCTAACCAAGAACTGAGTATGATCTCAGGCTTTTATTGTTGTCTTCGGATATTTCTCTTGTCGATATCGCCTTTAGGTTATATTAAAGTTTTCCTCTTACAACATTAATATTATGATAAAATAAAAGATGTTTAAATACGTCGATGAGACATGAACATCACGAAATAACAAAACAATATATATAACTTTAGTTCTGGCTTTTATCAGTAGACACGCGTCTATACAATATGTCAAGTTCTAAATCTCCCAATGTCTACTGAAGTTCTAAATCTCCCAATGTCTACGGAAGTTCTAAATCTCTAAATATCCCAATGTCTACGGAAGTTCTAAATCTCCCAATGTCTACGGAAGTTCTAAATCTCCCAATGTCTACGGAAGTTCTAAATCTCCCAATGTCTACGGAAGTTATGAATATCAAAGATCTAAAGCATACACCTAATTTTCTAAAGTACAAAAATGTTATGTGCAAGGAGGTAAAAAAGGATATATATTCATAGTTTACACTTTCAAATAAAAACACACTGAAATTCAAATCTATAATTCAAAAAAGAAAGAAAAAGTAGTTTTTTTCTGTGACCTCTCCATCCGGTTTCACAGCCATTGTGATATTTTTTTTAAATGCACGCTGGCGTTTTTAATGACGCCGCTAGTGAGGACATTTTTAGTGTTTAATCATCGTAGTTAAAAGGCGATGTGATAAATACAAGAGGATATACCTATGTATTGTCTAAAATTTCAAAGTCTGTTTGGATGAATAAAAAACGTTTCTTTGGTAGTTCTCTGTTGTCCTGTATAATAATCAGAGCATTATTAGAACGCTAAAATGGTAAACTTGTCAATAAAGATCATTTGCTTCAATCAATGTGAGTACTCAGAGGAATTCTGGTTAATAAATTCGTGTAATGCACTGAGAAGAATAAACCATTCAGTTATAGATCCGTTTCATTAAAAACAAAGTAATAATTTCTGAAGGAAAAAGTTCGAAAACTCTAGCAATATATTAACGTATTCATTTTAGATAAAAAAAATAAAACAGACAACTAAAAGCTTTAGCGTACAGGAACCTCAGGGAGATTAACTTTGGTTAATGTGGTTATCTTTATATGATAAAAATTGTTCAATGATTAGCTTATAAATAGGTCTAGGATTATCCTATTGTAGAAAAGATTGTTCAATGATGTTAATTTAGCTTATAAATAGGCCTAGAGTGATCCTCTTGTAGAAAAGATTGTTCAATGGTTAGCTTATAAATAGGCCAAGAGTGATCCTCTTGTATAAACATTGTTGAATGATTAGCTTATAAATAGGCCTGATCTTTCAATCAGTTTAATTGAGGTCTGGAGCTGGCATGTCAGTAACTGCTAGTAGTCCTTTGTTAATTTATGTTGATCATTGTCATTTTGCATAGTTTCTTCTTTTATCTATTCTAACATCGGACTCGGTTTTTTTTAAACTGAGTTTTACTGTGCGTATTGCTGTGTGTTTGTTTATTCTACATATAGGGCTAGAGGTATTGGGGAGGGTTGATTTCTCACAAAAACTGTTTAACCCCGCCGCATTTTTGCGCCTGTCCCAAGTCAGGAACCTCTGGCCTTTGTTATTCTTGTATGTTTTTTAATTTTGGTTGAATTATATGTTTCGGAGTTCAGTGTGACGTCCATTTTCGCTGAACTAGTATACATTTTTGTTTAGGGACCAGCTGAAGACCGCCTCTGGTTGCGGGATTTTCTCGATGTGTTGAAGACCAATTATGGCCTTGTGCTGATTTCTGCACTTTGGTCGGTTGGTTGTCTCTTCTCAATTTTATTATCCTCTTGTAGAATCGATTGTTTAATGATTAACTTTGGCTGATAGGGTTATGGTCATTTATTTTTTCATTTACTGTAAAACTGCATATTTTATACAAGCGTTTATATATTCATCGTTTCAACAGTTAAGGTAATTTTGTTTACTAACATAGGGCTGCTTTTTAAAAAGAGACATCACGAAACATTTTTCTAATAAATCGGAAATGAATTATGTTTCAAATAGAAGTCATATAAAATATTAATACAATTTCTCAAGTGGGGGAGTGATTAGTACGATGCTAAGTAGAATAAACCGAGATTGCACACTTATTTAGTCTATACATGTACATGTTTATTGAAAACGATAGTTGTCCGATTTCAGAGGTCTATGAACTTTACAAATTGTTTAATCGGAATTTATTTAATTTCAATCGTCAATGATGTGTAGAACAGATTAGATCTTACCCGATATATATGACAAAACATAATTACTTATTAGTTTGTTTACGTATTGAAAATGAGAGCTGAAATAAACAAATGATCATTTCTGCACACATCAAAACCTTAAATATTTCTTTTTATAAGTTGAAATTACCATAACTTCAATGATTCCATGTATGTTTACATAGAAATGCATACATGCCATATTTAAAAAAAAAACTCTTACCTTTCCTTGGTACATATAAACTAAGCATCAGACAATCCTCAGTTTGATGCAAGACGTAACTCTCCATTCTTTTTAAATATTCCTTGTAATTCGACGTATTTTTAGGTTGAGGACACACTCCACGATAACTTCTATTTGAAACCACCCTATTTCCTAACCATTTTTCTAAGGAACTTGACGGAGGAATAAATCTTAACATTTGTTTTCTTGTAGAAGCATATTGTAATCCGCCAAAGACTTCAACAGGGTGTAATAATTCCTTGTTTTGCATTAACATCCCAATCAAATTTCCGTATCTTGTTGTGTATACTCGCGGTTCTAATGCTTTCCTCTTACAATGGCATAATTTGAGAAGAAAAATAGTTTTTAAGAAAATTAATCCAAGAAATAGCTGATACTTAGAAAGGCAATCCATTTTGTCAGCTTTCCACTTTGAACAATGTCATAATATAATTACATTGTATAAAATGTGATCAATAAATTACTATCAGTAGCCATCTAAAATTATTGTACGACACATGCTGATTTTTTCATTGTTATTACTTTACTTCTTGATCCTAGTCTTAGAACCAATTAGTCCAACAATCAAAGTTTGGTTATAAAAAACAATAAACTGATTAACAGCAAAAACATTCTTCACTGATACCTTGCTTCTGCTAACATTGATTGATCAATAAAGTTTTCTGTCTTTTAAAGTATCACAATTTTACGTTATTGGAATATTTCTCTATTTAATTTAAATGAAGCCTCCCAATTTATCAACCATGTCATCATATATGCATAACGGCAGATATGTATAGTATTTAATTCACTGGCGCAAAATAAACCAGAAAATAATAGAAGAGAACATTTGTAGAAAGGAATAGCTTCTTCAAACCGTGTACTCTGAATAAACAACTACATCTGCATAACATTTCTTGCTCATCATTTTGTTATTTTACCAAAAGACGGAATGTATATTCAGAACATATAAATTACTGCAAACTCAAAGAAGTCTGTTTATTGATTAGGAGTTCTTACTATAAATGTACCAATGTAAATATTTGTTCTGGTATAGAGTTATCTGTTATTTCACGGCTATTCGGACATATAATTGATTGTTTCCTTACCTATACGTTAGCAGAAACAACCTCATTTGCTATAATTGTTACGGTTTATCAGATTGTGATTGTAATGTTGGTATTTTTCATTTTGAATTAATACTACGGGAAGTCTATGTGATATATCAAATGGACTCAGACAAAGGCTATTGATAACATAAGCGTTTGGTCATAAATAATGAAGACACTTCCACCTGTTACGGGGATGACATTCTACTGTAACCAGGCACAGCCGATAGCAATTTTGTTCATGCTACCCTCTTGAGCAGAGCAATAGTAAGTTAGGTGGAAGAGCAAATAGTTACTTCTAAAAGAATATGATCAACCTTAGCGCTTTGTGCTCTACAAACCGCTCATCTATGACGTTATATACAAATTTATTTGTTTTATATATATCTATATATTTATTATATACTTAGTAGTAAATACAGATAAATTGTATGTGTAATACAATCATTGGCAAGCGTGCTGTATCAGCCATCCGCGATGATATCGATATCAGCACGGTTGCAAAGGCTTTATCACACCTTTAATCTGTATGACGTCACGTCATCGATTGCAGACACTGTTGCAAAGCAGTAGGACAACCGGAAGCGCTTGAGTATTGATTTCGGTGCTCAGTGATACGGTCATTAGACGACGTTGTCAACACGTAATGGCGGCCATTGTTTGACGTTGGATTTGGCATTTCATGCTGTAAAGGTGCATTTATGACATTCCTGGATGCTAAAACTTATTGCCACACAACATAAAAGGTAAAGGATTATTTCAGTTATACCGAGTTAATTATTTTCAAATAAGTGGAATCCCAAAAAATGATTTAAACGGCAAAAATAAAGTGTAAAATTATATGAAACATGAAAATTGAAATCCCATTTTTCATCATTTCCTTTTCATATATTGAATACACTATTTACACCAACCATTGGTGAATTATATTCGGATTTCGGTCTTAGGTATCCGTCCTTGTCTCCTGGAATATTATACCCACACAAGTTGTCAACATCCGTTTTCAAACTGTTCAAAGTGTTCTTCACAATCTCCCTGGAAAATATTCACGCTATCACTTCGTGCTCAGATAATAGAACATTGTAAACCTCTAACAGCAAATGCGGACCAAAATTAATCAAATTTGAAAGCACGGATGATCACGTGTAATGCCGACTGTAAGTTCTCTAAAAAGGGGGTAATTTCTCCCCCAAATACACATGAATTTTGCTGACCGTCTCAAATTCAACTCAAAAGTCCATTATCAAATCAGAGGCGTCCCATTTCATATACACCAAAATTTAATATTTAAAAAAACTTTCATTACTATATTAACATATAATACAAATGGAAATCAATCACAAGCACTTGTTTCTGTCAATGGGGTGTTCACTATCCATACTCGTACGAAAATTTTTATTTTTATGTGGGTGGGTGGGTAGAAGGAATTTAAGGGGACATTATATTCATCTTCTTATTTTACTATTATGGCTTATTAATTTTTTTCAATCTGTACACAATTGTTCTTTCCTTTTTATTGGACAGAATATTCATGTTAATCCTGTGTCAGCACTCTTGTCAGAGCAATGTTTATTTTATGTTCGGTTATCACCATGATATAGACATGTACCAGATCTTTCCCATAAAAAAATTAATTAAGATAGCCATCCTCTAAATCATAACTCTAAAATTATAAAAGAAATTTACACATTGAAATTAACCAATCACCCACCCATTTGAAAAGCTTGTACACATGCTGCTTTGCATTACATGAATCCCCAGAAACTAATTAATTTACAATTTCTTTATACATGTTATATCTGACATGTTATATTCTTCCAATGATTATATAAACAATCTACTTAGAAATGATAATCCATTAACAATATTCCAGAATTTAAATTAAAATAAAACTGGGTTTTGAGTGCCCCCAAAATGTATAAAATTTCAGCTTGCATTGTACAATAGACATGTTATGATCTTATGATGTTTATGCAAACTATTAAATATAAAAATGTTATCAAAAGGTTTGGTATAACATAAATTTGCTCCTTGTTAAACCTAAAAGTTATTTTTCAAGACTTTTGAAATGTTTTCTTTGTCTGAAACTTTTATGTACATGTATTGAGCAAAAATGCTGGGGACATAATTTATCTATAATACTTAAATAAATACATGTATTTTCTTGGTAATTTATTTGGCAAATTTGTATTCATGTGTTGATAATAACAATGCAAAGTTTAATTTTGCTTTGAATAATTTGGTAAATAAACATTAATAGTAATTGTATGTAAATTTGCTTTATATTTACAGGATGGAGAAAGATGTTCACTATGGATCAAAAATTCAAAACAGAGGACTTTTTTATTCAAACAAAAATACTTGTACATGTATGATATTCTGTACATACAACAAGAAAGCAGTAATCAAACGGAATGTCCAGTGATGTTGAAAGCAAAATTATTTTTGTTAACAGAAAACAATAGGACTACAATATATTAAGGGTAAGTTATCCAAAATTGTCTGTTTAGGGTTACAAAAGTAGGTTATTGACAATGTGCTATGATTTCAATCCCCCAAATATGAAACAAAAACATAATATACATGGTATTTAAACTGTTTTCATAAGGAAACAGACTGAAAATATTCTGCATTTAACAGTTAGACATGAAAGTTGCCAATGTAATAAATTGGGATTGGAACTTAAAATTTATAGGATATAGGCCAAGGAATCATTCGGACTTTAAGGCCAAATGGTATACTTTTAATAGTTTAAAGATTTTATTCTATTATCTATGCTGTGTAAATGTCAATATCGTTTCATTTGGATTTAAAACCTAATTTCAAGAATGAAGGGTACAGTAATTTAAAATTAATTTAAATGATTAAAAACAATACAAGGGAAGTAACTCTTACAAGATGTGCATTATATCCTAATGAAGTGTTTTAATGTATTTGTCCATATTTTCAGATAAGAGAATGACTTAAGCAGACTGTATTGGGGTCATAGATGGCTATAACAATGAAATACAATATATTATAATTATCATTCTTCATTACGTCTTGATTGAATTAACAAACTTTAATTTAATAACAAAATATTTTCTTTTTTCAGTACACAACACATCGTGTCAGAAGAATAATTTTACTGGAGAAAAAAAAAATTAATACCTGGAATCAGCAATTTACAAAATGTATACGAAATTTATTAAGAGAGATATATTCATGTACAGAATGGTAACCCCACCAAATAACTCAGGTGGTTCAAGTGATTATTAGCAGACATTTTTGTTGAACTAATGCAGGATTAAATAAATGAAGCTTTAGCAGACTATGGGCTCCAAAGTGTAGTAAAAAGAGGATTTTTAAATATGACAGACTCATAAACATTAAAATGTGCATAAGTGAAATGTTACAATATTTAGTAAAAAATTCAGATTATTGACTCAGTTGTTTTCATGAAATTTTTTATCAAAGCAATATCACTGTTATATAATAAATAAGATTCCATATGTTTTATTTTACCGGTATACTTTTGACAACCGAATATATCTTCCCTCAGCTCTGGCCTCAAGTGTTTCCCTTTTATTTTGTATGAGTGTAATTTACAGAAAGCTCATTTTGCTTTTGGCGAATTCAAGTTTTGCCTTTCCAGAATTATTGGACTTTATTAATGGAAAATTAGACATTTGCCCATATGTTGTAGAAGAACTCAATTTTGCTTTAATACTTTTTCAAGAAATTGTATCATAAGGCTAGATTTGATCAAATAATCTCACTTTTGAATATTTATCACATATCACATACTTAAATAATCTAGTATGCTTAGATTGATTTCCTTCACTTTTGTCCTGTTGTTGAGATTGAGTGAAATAATTTAATTATTTTATTCCTATCAATTTGGGGTTGCGTGGGGATCTGTGTCCCATTGGGAATGGCATTTAACACTGCATAACTATATCCTATCACAAGTTATGATACAGCCAACCATATAACATAGTCCCTGCCACTGAAAGGAGAAAAGAGGTGCACAACATACAAAATAAACTGCTTCACTGAGCGCAGCTAGATACGCCCGCAGAGGTCCAACCCTGAACAGTTGGGGCAAAAATGGACACAATATTCAAGCTTGATTCAGGTCTGAATTTGGATTGTAATTAAATATGTGACATATTATAGGTTTCTGAATAAATGTAGTCAAAGAACTTGAAATTGGTTATATGAATTGAATTTATATTCAATTAAAGATTTCTTGCTGTTGTGCAATAGTCCCCAATACTTAGTAAATCTGTTGTCAGACTATAAACAAATAAAGTTCAATTAATTCTCAATGTCATATTAGAAATTTATGGAAATAAAAAGGGAGCTTACATCAATAGATATAAACAATTCACCAAAGTTTCATGAGAATTGGTGACAGCATTTTTGAGTTATTGTCCGAAAACTGGAAAATCACCCCTTTTTTTAATGAATAAAACCCCATAACTCAGAAATGTAAAATGTAAAATTTATAAAATTCTAAAGGGAGCTTACATCAATACATACAAACAATTCACCAAAGTTTCATACGAAATTGCTGAAAGAATTTTTTAGTTTTTGTCCGAAAACTGGAAAATCCCCCCTTTTTTTATGAATAAAACCCTGTTACTCAGAAACGTAAAATCTAAAATTTATAAAAATCCAAAAGGGAGCTCATGTCAATAGATATAAACAATTCACCACAATTTCTTGCAAGTTGGTGAAAGCATTCTTGACTTATTGTCCGAAAACTTTAAATTTTCTAAAAAACGAAAGGGAGCTCACGTCAACAGATATAAACAATTCACCAAAGTTTTATGCAAATTGGTTAAAGCATTTTTGAGTTAATGTCTGACATGTTGACGACGGACAGATGGACGGACGGACAGACGGACGGACGGACAGACGGACAACGGTATACCATAATACGTCCCGTAAACGGGCGTATAAAAATATTTCATATGGCTAGCTTCATTGTATCCTTTGAATATTTCATTGATTTTTGTCGAGCCTGCGACTTTTGTCGCAGAAAGCACGACATAGGGATAGTGATCCGGTTGCGGCGGCGTTAGCTAGCTTCTTAAAAGCTTTATATTTTAGAAGCTAGAAGACTTGGATGCTTCATACTTTGTATATAGATGCCTCATGTTACGAAGTTTCTGTCTGTCATATGTCCATTGTCCTTGACCTCATTTTCATGGTTCAGTGACTACTTGAAAAAAAAGTCAACATTTTTTTGTAATGTTAATTTCTTTCTTATTATGAGTAATAGGATAACTATATTTAGTATGTGCGTACCTTGCAAGGTCCTCATGCCCGTCAGACCTCGACCTCATTTCATGGATCAGTGAACAAGGTTAAGTTTTCGTGGTCAAGTCCATATATCAGATACTATAAGCAGTAGGTCTACTATATTTGGTATATGGAATGATTGTAAGGTGTACATGTCCAACTGGTAGATGTCATCTGACCTTGTCCTCATTTTCATGGTTCAGTGGTCAAAGTTAAGTTTTTTGTGTTTTGGTCTTGTTTTCTAATCCTATATGCAATAGGTCAACTATATTTGGTGTATGGAAATATTTTATGATTTACATGTCAGTCTTGCAGGTTTTATTTGACCTTGACCTCATTTTCACGGTTCATTTCTCAGTGTCAAGTTTTTATACGACCGCAAAAAAATTTTGCGATCTTATATTGGTATGACGTTGGCGTCGTCGTCGTCCGAAGACACATTGGTTTTCGCACTCTAACTTTAGTTTAAGTGAATGGATCTCTATGAAATTTTACCATAAGGTTCAATACCACAAAAGGAATGTTGGGATTGATTTTGGGGGTTATGGTACCAACAGTTAAGGAATTAGGGGCCAAAAATAAGCATTTTTGTAACTTCCAGACATAACTTGTGTGTTAGTGTATGGGTCTCTCTGACATTGTACCACAAGGTTCCATATCACAAAGGGAATGTTGGCATTGTTTTTTGGGGTAATTGCCTCAAAATTTTAGGAATTAGGGGCCATAAAAGGGGCAAAAAACAAGCATTTTTATATGGACAAATACTTTAGTACAAAACATAATTTAAAGCAGTGTAAGGGAGATAAATCAAATACATCATTTGAATTACCTCCCTTACACTGCTTTTAAATTATATAAAGTAATGGTTAATGAACAATTAAGACAATTTAAAACAGTGTAATGGAGGTAATCCACATACAACATTTTGATTACTTTCCTTACACTGCTTTTAAATAATGTTTAAAGAAATGCATATTTATAAAGGAAGACCAGTAAAAATATCTGCAAATGTTGCATCTTTTTCTTTTTTACCAAAAAAATCCATATGAAAGATTTGACACCATATTTTAAATTCTATTATAAAATAGATTAAGTTAGCACTATGGTAAATTTAAATGGGTAATTATGGTTGCAAATTCCATTGGAAATTTGAATTGAGATTATGACCATATCTTGAGGGAAAGAATTTCAGAAATTAAAAAAAATTATTCTTCAAATATTATTTTTTTTTCAAATTTCAAATATTGAAAAATTTCAAGAAGTAATCTTTAATAACACAGTATGGCGCATTAGATTTGTAAAATCTTTGACCATATTTATTTGTAATGCCAAATCTGACTGTGTATTTAGATTTTTAATTTTGGGTCCAGTTTTCAAATTGGTCTACATTAAGGTCCAAAGGGTCCAAAATTAAACTTAGTTTGATTTTAACAAAAATTGAATATATGGGTTTCTTTGATATGCTGAATCTAAACATGTAGTTAGATTTTTGATTTCGGGCCCAGTTTTCAAGTTGGTCCAAATTGGGGTCCAAAATTAAACTTTGTTTGATTTCAACAAAAATTGAATATATGGGGTTCTTTGATATGCTGAATCTAACCATGTGTTTAGATTTTTTATTTGTGGGCCCCGCTATCAAATTGGTTCATATCGAGGTCAAAAGGGTCCAAAATTAAAATTTGTTTTATTTCATCAAAAATTGAATTATTGGGGTTCTTTGATATGCCAAATCTAACCATGTATTTAGATTTTTAATTTTGGGTCCCGTTTTTTAAATTGGTCTACATTAAGGTCCAAAGGGTCCAACATTAAACTTAGTTTGATTTTAACAAAAATTGAATTCTTGGGGTTCTTTGATATGCTGAATTTAAACATGTGTTTAGATTTTTGATTATGGGCCCAGTTTTCATGTTGGTCCAAGTTGGGGTCCAAAATTAAACTTTGTTTGATTTCAACAAAAAATGAATATATGGGGTTCTTTGATATGCTGAATCTAACCATGTCTTTTGATTTTTGGGCCCCGTTATCAAATTGGTCCACATTGAGGTCAAAAGGGTCCAAAATTAAACTTTGTTTGATTTCATCAAAAATTGAATTCTTTGGATTCTTTGATGTACTGAATCTAACCATGTATTTATATTTTGAATATTGGACCATATTATAGGTAAATTAAAAAATGTTAAGTTCTTAGACCACATTCATTCTGTATCAGAAACCTATGCTGTGTCAAATATTTAATCACAATCCAAATTCAGAGCTGTATCAAACTTGAATGTTGTGTCCATTCTTGCCCCAACTGTTCAGGGTTCGAACTCTGTGGTCGTATCAAGCTGCGCCCAGCGGAGCATTTTATTGTGTTTTGGTCTGTTTTTCTTCAACTATAAGGAATATATCAACTATTTTTGTTGTATGGAAGGATTGTAAGGTGTATATGTCTGTCTGACAGGTATCATCTGACTTTGACCTCATTTTCATGGTTCATTGGTCAATGTTAAGTTTTCGTGGTTAAGTTTGTTTCTTAGACACTATAAGGAATAGGTCAACTATATTTAATGCATAAATTGATTGTAAGGTGTACATGTCTGTCTGGCATGGTTCATCTGATCTTGACCTCATTTTCATGGTTCATTGGTCAATGTTAAGTTTTCTTGGTTAAGACTGTTTCTTAGAAACTATAAGCAATAGGTCAACTATGTTTGGTTTATTGAATGATTGTAAGGTGTACATGTATTTCTCATTTGGTTGATCTGACCTTGACCTCATTTTCTTGGATCTTGTTAAGTTTATGTGCTACTTGTAGTAAAGCTTTATATTTAGGACTATCAACATAAAATCAATGGTTAGAAAAGAAGGTGAGACATTTCAGCGTGTGCACTCTTGTTTTTCAGTAGTTATTTATCAAAGGTACTACAGTTCCCTTTCAGTTTGCCTGCTTACGACTTGATTACAGTTCCAATATAAAAATAAGAAGTTGGGGTATGATTGCCAATGAGACAATTAATTAACTCTCCACCAGATACCTTATGACGAAAAGGTTAATAAATATATGTATAGGTCTCTGACAGCCTTCATCAATGAGCAGAACCAATAACGCATAGTAAGCTACATGTATAAAAGGTCCCTAAATAACATGACACAATAGAGGCTGAAAATGAATACTCTGCATCAGTGAGTATGCAAAAGTGAAAATATATTTTGAAAGAAAAGCA